TAATTTTGTAATGTTTATCTAAAAAATTTATCTTCAATATTTGATATTTCAAATGACCAATTGCATGCTTCATCAATGCTTGATTCAAAAGATATAGCAATGTTACAAATCAAAAGTAATTTAGAAAAGCAAAAACAAAACCTCAGAAACCAGGTGTGTTCTCAGGACTATAGTTCTAGCACGGCGGGATATGTCTGTATGATTTGTCTCGAAGGCCAATAATTTTGAACTGGCTGCACAATCCATACTATTTCTTTTGGTGTCTCATCTTGAGAAATACTTATTGAGCCTTTTATATAACTACAAAATGCTCCGGCCAGCATCCATAGATACTGGCCAGATTCTTTTGAAGTAATTTGGACAGACACCTTCCTGCTGATAAAATATCACTCTTTTGGCCTCTAAGGGGCGGGGTCAAAATATCGATGTTCATATGGAGACAAAAGTACTTTCGCGAGGGGGGAGGGGGTTTTTGAGCACTTTCATTGACCAAAAAAACATCGATAATTCGGATCTGATATACAAAAAATAATTGGACTTACCCACTTTTTCTGGCGCTATGTTCTGATAAAAAGGCTTGTTTTCAATAGTCCGTGAGCTATTTTGTGTGATAGGTCCAAAATATCGGTAGACAAGGCATTAACATGACAAAATGTCACCACCTAGTTGCTCACAATATTATGAGTTCAAACTTAAGTCAGATTTGAATTTCTGAGAACTTGTAAAGTCAAATTTGAACTTCTGAAAAGATGTAGATGATTTTGAAAAAAAAATTTGGTCAATTTGAAGCAAGTTGAAAACAGACCTTTTTGACCTTTTTTGACCTTGAGAAGGTCATTAAAGGTCAAATGTCAAATCTTAAGTCAAATCTAAAGTCATATTTGAATTTCTGAGAACATGTAGATGCTTTTGAAAAAAATTTAGTCAATTTGAAGCAAGATGAAAAAATACCTTTTTGACCCTTTTTGACATTGAGAAGGTCATTGAAGGTCAAATGTCAAATCTAAAGTCAGATTTGAATTTCTGAGAACATGTAGATGATTTTGAAAAAAAAATTTAGTCAATTTGAAGCAAGTTGAAAAAAGACCTTTTTGACCTTTTTTGACTTTGAGAAGGTCATTGAAGGTCAAATGTCAAATCTTAAGTCAAATGTAAAGTCAGATTTGAATTTCTGAGAACACGTAGATGATTTTGAAAATTTTTTTTAGTCAATTTGAAGCAAGTTGAAAACAGACCTTTTTTGACCTTGAGAAGGTCATTGAAGGTCAAATGTCAAATCTTAAGTCAGATTTGAATTTCTGAGAACATGTAGATGATTTTGAAAAAAAAAATTAGTCAATTTGAAGCAAGTTGAAAAAATACCTTTTTGACCTTTTTTGACCTTGAGAAGGTCATTGAAGGTCAAATGTCAAATCTAAAGTCAGATTTGAATTTCTGAGAACATGTAGATGATTTTGAAAAAAAAATTTAGTCAATTTGAAGCAAGTTGAAAAAAGACCTTTTTGACCTTTTTTGACTTTGAGAAGGTCATTGAAGGTCAAATGTCAAATTTTAAGTCAAATCTAAAGTCATATTTGAATTTCTGAGAACACATAGATGATTTTGAAAATTTTTTTTAGTCAATTTGAAGCAAGTTGAAAACAGACCTTTTTGACCTTTTTTGACCTTGAGAAGGTCATTGAAGGTCAAATCTTAAGTCAAATCTTAAGTCAGATTTGAATTTCTGAGAACACGTAGATGATTTTGAAAAAAAAATTTAGTCAATTTGAAGCAAGTTGAAAATAGACCTTTTTGACCTTTTTTGACCTTGAGAAGGTCATTGAAGGTCAAATGTCAAATCTAAAGTCAGATTTGAAGGTCAAATGTCAAATCTAAAGTCAGATTTGAATTTCTGAGAACATGTAAATGATTTTGAAAAAAATTTAGTCAATGTGAAGCAAGTTGAAAAAAGACCTTTTTGACCTTGAGAAGGTCATTGAAGGTCAAATGTCAAATCTAAAGTCAGATTTGAACTTCTGAGAACATGTAGATGATTTAGAAAAAAATTGAAGTCAGTCTAAACAGTATTTGTTAAGTTATAGGAAGTTGTAAGAAATTGTTACAGACGCCGGACGCCAACCGCCGGACGCCAACCGCCGGACGCCAACCGCCGTCGCAAAAAAACGGAGACCATAACAATATGTCACCACTTTTGGTGGTGACATAATAAAGACGATAATTCGATCATTTTTCAAATAAATTCCGTACTTTTCCCTCCTCCTTTTGAAGAGTTCAATGCAGTTAAATTGCGAACGTGTGTTAATTCACCGTAATAATAACCCGGCAAATAGGATACGATTATGGTTCCAAATCATTTGACAGTCACTGAAAATCAATGTTTTTTTGAAGTGACCTAAGCTTTCGTCTAGAGGGGGGGTGGGGGGGTTGTTGTCCAAACGAAATTACTTTCGTCTCCATATGAACATTGATATTTTGAACCCGCCCCTAATAAACACAGGATTGATTGTATATTGTTCATTAAGCATAAGCAAGGAATAACAAGATGTTTCAAATGAGGTGATTGTCTCATATATTTCTGAAATTGCTGCACAACAGGAGTGTAGCCAGCTTACAGTCAGGGGAATTCAATTGTGCCATAAGCGAGCCCAAAATTTTTTTAAGATTTATTTTGAATTTTACTTCCTGTAACTTCTTTCAAAAGTAGAAGCTTCAAATAAAAAATATTTTAAAGCTCTTTTCTTTTTTATTTGATGGTTCTATTTTTACAAGTTGTCGGATGGTGTGTTCGCACCCATCATACCTCCCTGGCTATGCCTAAGGCTGCACAATCATCATTTTAAAATTTTACTTCCGTATTATGTAAATTGGCTATATAGGGCAACCTGTGAGAGACAGTGTGACCTACTCTCCGTGGTCCATTTTTAAAGGATAAAAACCAGGGGTCACGCGATTGCTCATTATTGCTCAAGCAATTTGCCATGATACAAGCGTACTTATATTCAACCTGAATTTTGAAAATTAATTGTATCATTTCCTGAATTTAAATTAAAAAAAACACTCACCATACCTTAAAATTATCAAACCATACCTGTTTCAACATTTTCTTCCACACTATCTGGCCATTTCAAGTGGAATCTCTGTCATTCTATTATTCATTTATTCATTCATTCATTAATCGACTATTATACAGAGTAGAATCTGAACTTTTAAACTCTAATACCATTGAATTGATACCCCGAAAATTGATCTACAAACATTAATGGGATTAAATACAGACATAAAACATTCAGTCAATAACAAGATAAAGTGATAAATCTGCATCAAGTGTTCAGTTGACAACATTACATGCAGTGTCTACTGTCTAGGATAAAGAAGAAGAAGAAGTCATTTTAGTATTAGGAAATAATTATGCTATAAACGTCATCAGAATGGCTGTTCTCTCATTAGCGTTAGACTAATATTTAGATGAATACTGAAAGAGAGAACACTTTTGATTTTTTGACTTTCATCTTTTTATGAAAATTTTCATGAACTTCATTTTGGGGAAATGGTCCTAATTATCGCCCGATTGTCAAATAGATTAAATATGCACCATACATCTTTTAAACCAGTGTTAATAACACCAGCTCAATACCAGTACTCCTTATCTTCAAGATTTATTAATATCTTTAGAAATATCTCTTCATTTTTTAAAAAAGATTTACTTCTGCTGTAGTCATAAATGTGATTGCCCAGGAAGTGAAATTCATCTGACAAAGTTTGACCCCTCCAAATAAAGTAAAATAAGTAAGTGAATATAGCATTTGTATTCATCTATTATTAACAGGAAAATGTATCCAGTATCATAAAATAATACTCGAAACACAACCGTGCGATAATTAGGACGACTGGGCGATAATTAGGACCACCACACATGCGAGTCTAAGGGGTCTAATAGTGCTAACGTTCAGAGATTGAGAAATGTCAAGCAAGACTTAAATTTTAGAAGAAATGTTGATCTTTCGTTTCATACCCTCAAAGTAAGTTGAAGTTATCTTTTTTAAAACCATCAGTATAGTTTTCCAGAGTACCTGTGCGATGATAAGACCATTTCCCCTTCCATATTTCTACTGCTCGTATCATATTGTGAGGTAAATATCATTGCTCATATCAACATTCAAAGAAGTACATTGTGGGACCACTAATAAAAAACCTGGATGTGGTTGGATATTTTGAACCTCAGAAGCATGCACTGTACCACCGTACTAAAAGTAGACGAGTACCGCAACCTCGGGAGAAGAAGAATCGGTATCTATGCTAGCATCTATGGCAAGTGAGTTTGGTTTCACCACGGGCGCCTAATATACGTTCTTCGAAACGAGATAGATATCAATTACCAAAATTTGGATTCTTCTTTCGAATTACTCGAGTCTCTAGCCAATACTTGGCTAGAGGTGATTTCATCTGGAATACTGTGAACTCCATTTGAAAAAAGCTGGCCGCCGTGTCATAAATTTATTGAATATTTTAAAAATCACCAGATAAATAAATCATAAATTAAATCTGAACCGACTCAGCTCCTTGATGAGATATGACATGATTTCGTCAGGATTTCGTCTAAAATTAAAACAAAATGGTTCCAAGAAAAATGGCGATATTCAAACGAAATGTCGATAACGTCTGACATTAGTAACTGGCTGTAAATTCTAAGTTAGCGATCCAGAAGATGAGAACTAATACACTGATCAATTCATGTGTGGTTTGGAATTTTTGGTGAGGTAATAAGACCAAAACTCGCAATTCAAATTGTGATGTGGAAGAATGGCGGACATATGATTTCAAATTTTATGATTACAACATGACCAATTGTTCATGCAGGAAATTATCTTTCCAGGAAGGCCACGATACAGTGGCTTTAGAAGAAGGTAACTTTCGAACATTCTCTTCGTCTGTGTTAAAGTGTGTTTCCATGTTTCATTGACTGAAAATTTTTAGATCAAAATATTATTTCTATAACTTACTTTAGGTCGTCCCACTTATTACACCTTCCATGCACTTATACTGTATATACATCTATGTGTAATCGAATCGCTACGTCAAATTCAGAGTTGAATTTTGCATATTTTGCACAGAAACGCTGAATGAATCTATAAAACTGTCTTTCTCCTCCACACCTTGTTTGTCTTGAATGGCCAACTATTAGTTGCGAAACGAAATCACTAAAAATATTTCTGCAAGTAGCAGTGACATCTTTCAATAATGTTACGACCTATTATCTTCAAATGCCGCTAGCCGCTATGGATTCATAGTACCACCAATGATACTACAATATCAGAATTCAGAAGATCCCTAATGTACAGCAAAATGTGTGTACAGTAAACACCTATGGTACCACAAAAATGTGTTCACTATAGGTAGGTGTTCACTACAGAGAGGTATTTTTATACAGAACTCAGTGGAGTATGTCCTGACATATTTACTAGGCACAGGTGTTCACGAGAGAGGGCTGTTCACTAAGATACATGTAGGTTTTACTGTTGTATAATCCATATCTTGGACATCCGTTTGGGGCTTTCTTTTTTAGCACTTTTAGCACCAACTCTCGCCTCACAGAACATGAATGCTGCTAGGCTACATGTAGATTAGTGGGCCATTAGTCTCTTTTTTTACTTTGGTATCAGATATAAGCACCACAGGCCCGTAGCCAGGGGGGGGGGGGTCGATGGGATGGGATGCAATGAGATGCAAACGCCCAGCCCTTGCCAAAAAATGTTTCTTCATGCAGTTTTTCACCATTCTGAGGACTTTTTAAGTGATTTTGGCCATTTTTGGACCAAAATTGTCCCAAGTGAACCCCCCTGGAATTCTTCAAAAAGTGATCCCCCTCTTGGCAAATCCTGGCTGAGCACCAGCTTTTAATCCTTTCCAAAAGGTCAAACATTTTAGGTAAAGTTATATTTTTCAAAATTAGTTTGTTCTTTCATTTCTTCAATCTATATACAATGATAATAATGTATTTTAGTTTTAGTTATTTTAGAACTATTAATTTATTGGGGCTGTTTCTGCTGTAGAGCCTTTTTAACAAAGACTGAAGAGACAGACACCCTCAGATGGGACAAACTGTAAAAAGGTACAGAGTATGTACTTTGAAATCTAAGTTAAAATAACCACCACTCAATCACACTACCCTACCACGTGACCACATTTAAAAATGATACAGGGTACGGTTAAGTTGCAAATGGAGCGGGTATTCTCTATCTTTGTCCATTGGGCTTTTCTGGTAATAATACGTTGCAAACTGCTCGATGAATCTATACAATGTATAGTAGAACACTTAGAATATGTGTAAAATCTAGTAAACATTCAGAACTATGGAAATAAACAAACGTCCTCCATTTGCAACTTCCCTGTAGCCTGTACTTCTTTTAAAGGAATACAGGATACAGTATGGGGGTATAGTAGTGTGTCAATGTTCAATGCTTTTCTTTAGTGAAATACATCTCCACCCATACCCTTTTGTATAAAATGACACATTGATTGATTTTATAAAGATACCTATGGGGATAGCCATTTTTATTTATCTAAGGTTCATTATTTAGTTGAAATTGAATGAAGTGTTGAGAGAAGTTTAAAAAATTATCACAATTTTTCAGTATCTTTTGAATTTCCTGAGGCACCTTCAATATGAGTATAAAATATCCCTACTTTGAGGAGATCAGTAAATTATTGCGAAATCCCACATTAGGCACCATTTTGAAATTTCTGAGGCTCAATCAGAAAAACCATACAATATTCACAATCTAGATTGCCTTTCGTTTCAATATGATAAAGCTATACTTCAGAGAGATCTAAAAATTAATGAAGATTTCTGTTTTCCCAACCCCCATACATGGCCTGTGGGGTCAGGGTGAAAAACACAGAATCAATATCCCTTTAGATGCAACTTCAAGTCCTATAATCCGTACATATATCTATTTCACTCAAACACATTTGAGTAATTTATTAAACTGAACATGAATCACATGCTTCAATCACGACTAGATGTTTTTATTCTATGATTACATGGAATACAACGTATATTGCATAGTTTAGTATCAAAATATACACTCTGATGCATTATGAATTAATTCAATTTCTCTAGTGTATTTTGCAAGATACTACATGGATTCAGTGAAATGCGGGTACTTTAGCAGTCTTAATCTAGGTTAGAATAAGAAATCAACTACAGGCCTACTACCCCAGCTCTTGCCACCACCCCACTTATCTACTCATAATGACCCAATCATAATTTCCCTAACACCCAACCCTTGACAATTCTTGCCCAAAACACTTACTCATCCTAGAATATATAGACAGAAGTTAACTTAATCACAGATTAACAATTCATTTGAAATTCACAATTCATCTGAAATTCACAATATATTCAAAAGGAGTGGTATCGATAAGGAGAACTTTTTGAACACACGTTTCTCTTAAACCAGTAATAAAAAAATCTAAAAATTTAACACATCTTCAATTCAATGGTCTTCTTTTGAATGGTAACAATATAATTTGAAAAATATATATATACTTTCATCTATATTGTTTTAGAAAACACATCAAACACTTGTTTTGTTCTTGGTATCATGTTTCCAGAGTGAAATGAAACATCTTTCCGAACCTCATTGGAACAAAACGACATAAACACAACATGTTTTGGTCTCTCAATATTGTAATTGTCCAAAGGGAATTTTGGTTGATTTTGCAAAAGTATCTTGTTCATGAAATAAAAGGTTTATCTTGATTTTTATTTATTTTGGGGGGATTTTGTTTTAATTTTTTGAATACTTATTTGAAATCAACCAAAAATTCCTTTGTATAACTATAATATTAAGAGGTCTAAAAACATGTAGTATATGCTATTTTGTTCCAACAAGGTTCGGAAAGACATTTTAATTCATTCTCAAGAATTGGTAGAAAGGAGCAAAAACAATTGCACTAAAAATACAAAAAATGTTAACAAAAACAGTTATATAAAATATTTCTAAATAATTTTGCATTAAGTTGTTGTCAATCAGTCAACATTACATAAAATACTGTGTTTTTTTAAAGAATGTTTTCAATAATTGGTTTAAAGAGAAAAACATTGTTGAATTCAGTTCTCAATATCGATACCACTCCTTTACAATTCATTTGAAATTCAAAGCTCATTTGAAATTCACATTTCGTTTGAAATTCACATTTCGTTTGAAATTCACTGTATTCACAATTCATTTAAATTCACAATTCACAGTTTAACTGGAATTCACAATTCATTTGAAAATCACAATTCACAATTTATTTGAAAGTCACAATGTATTTGAAATTCACAATTCAATTGAATTTCAAAATTCATTTGAAATTCACAATTCATTTGAAAATCACAATTTATTTGAAATTCACAATTCATCTGAAATTCAAAATCCATTTGAAATTCACAATTCATTTGAAGTTCACAATTCATCTGAAATTCACAATTCATTTGAAATTCACAATTCATTTGTACAAAGGTGTTCACTAAAATAAGTTTTACTGCAATCATAATGTACTCAGGTGTTCCTTATACACAAGTGTTCAGTAAACATATGTGCTCATTAAACACGAGTGTTCATTATTTACTTTTTTTCACACAACCAGTACTATGAATGGCCATATTTGGCTATGTGATGCCACAGTTATCTAGCCATATCAGAATCACATTGACTCCTGAAGGAGAAGGCTTTTAGCCAGATACCGCCAATAATCAATTTACCTAGACTGATCTGAATTAAGTATGACCCTGTTTCTTCTCATACATTCATTTTGTTTTTCATTCCCCATTCAACTCAATTTATTTATTCATCCAACCGATCCACTTTTACTTACTCACATTATTCACCCACCATCTTCCAGTCTGTGCCATGATTAGCCCCATACATTGCAGGAATAAAACTTGAAAGGGAAGACAAACTATATGGAAGACTAATTGCCTCCTTCTGATGGACTCGATATAAAATAAAACATTCAACTTGTCCTGATATTATAACACGGTACACCAACTCATCCAGCCTTTATCAGTCTCAACTTCCTGGAAGGTATCTAGTTTTCTGTGCTTTGTATTGTCATTTTCTTGTTCAGAGTCACTAAGCTCATTGTCAGTGTCCAGTTCACTCTCACTGGCAGAACTCTCTGCATTTTGTGTATAGCGTAAGTTGTATGTAGTGTGGACCACTCCTGCATTAGTCCTGAATAAAAAATATACATAGTGTTCAGGAAGGATATGTTTGAATCACTAAATACTGGCCTCTATTGAATCATTAGGGAGTTTAAGCTTGCATATAAAATCGAAACGTCAACCTATACGTATGACCAATAGCCTATACAAATGCATCACTCAATTATTTTCCGTTCACGTTTAGGTTATGAAAAACATTTAAAGCTTAAACTCCCTATTCTTATAATAATATACTCAAGTCATGTAAGACCTAGTTGATTCTTTGTAGTCGTATTGTTGTTTCTAAGTTGGGGTTATTATTAAAGTATTATATCGGAATACCTTTGCCTGCCTTTCACTTGAGTCCATACTTTAACTTGATTGCCCCCAGTGATGATTCTGAGACCCTGCTGACATCTGGTGGCAGCCATACAAGTCATTTTCTCTGTGCTCCCATCATTCAAAGTGGCTAGGTAATTTTCACTAGGAAGGCTCCGAACTGAGAATAAACAAGACATCTATTAATTACTGGGTACAAATGGACTTGATGCATGACTATTCACAAACATTTGCAATGAAAGAATAAACAAGATATCTTAAATACTGGGTACAAAAGGACTTGATGCATGACTATTAACTAACATTTGCAATGAAAGAATAAACAAGATATCTTTTAAATACTGGGTACAAAAGGACTTGATGCATGACTATTAACAAACATTTGCAATGAAAGAATAAACAAGATATCTTAAATACTGGGTACAAAAGGACTTGATGCATGACTATTCACAAACATTTGCAATGAAAGAATAAACAAGATATCTTTTAAATACTGGGTACAAAAGGACTTGATGCATGACTATTAACTAACATTTGCAATGAAAGAATAAACAAGATATCTTTTAAATACTGGGTACAAAAGGACTTGATGCATGACTATTAACTAACATTTGCAATGGAAGCAATTTATTTTTATCTTTGCCAAAGACCTCCATTCCTTGTCAATTTCTCTCATTTAACATTGATAAAAATCAGTGTTTAATTATATCTTTTATTTCAGTTTGAACTTGTTTTTTGCATTTTCAATAGCTTAACAAATTAATAATGTTAACAGTACATGTACTTATATGCATTATGGATGTAGACTAATACACTTAATAAAACAAGAAGGAATAACATTTAATAAGGGTACACTTTTAGTGATGACAATTTGCATACCATTAATGTATCCTAGGCCACTGTCAAGGTCATATCCAGCAGCTAGCATGAGATCACTGAGTGCAGACAAGGCAGTTGTAGAGCCAAACTCAAAGCAATGTTGGCTCAATTTGTGTATAACACCTGAAAGTAAATAAATTGAGTATAAAGACTTATATCTTGTTCTTCTATTGAATAATGTTGTCAGTGCATATTTATTTACTGTAACACGCAATTCACATTAAAATACCGTAATCAATAGAATATATCATTTGATCAGTTGATATAGGAAGTATCAGATTACACACAGCAATTTATTTGGGTTGCATTTTTTTAACACCCTGTACAGTACATGGAGAATGACAAACATCTGATGTAATGGTAACCGGACAACTCATCCCCTAGACAACTCATCCCTGGACAACTCATCCCCTAGACAACTCATCCCCTAGACAACTCACCCCCTAGACAAGTCATCCCCTGGACAACTCATCCCCTGGACAACTCATCCCCTAGACAACTCATCCCATGGACAACTCATCCCCTGGACAACTAATCTTTTGGCATGTTTGAGTAAAGTAATTTAATATTATATTACCAATTCATATTTGATTTGTTTGGTCAGGAAATATTGAGTAATGTAATATAAGAATGAGAGACGAGAGTTTCAATGACATCGTTTGACTGTTTATTTGTGTCAGTATTAAGTGAAAAATAATATTTGAATGATCTTATATGTATTGACTAAGTATTTCTTTTCAAGACACACTTTACAATTTAGCTTCATGTGATGAAGGATGAGTTTTCCAGGGGATGAGTTGTCCAGGGGATGAGATGTCTAGGGGATGAGTTGTCCAGAGGATGAGTTGTCTAGGGGATGACTTGTCCAGGGGATGACTTGTCTAGGGGATGAGATGTCCAGGGGATGAGTTGTCTAGGGGATGAGATGTCCAGGGATGAGTTGTCTAGGGGATGAGTTGTCCGTAAGCCGATGTATTGAGGATATTTGTATTGATCAGTCTCACCAGATAATTGTATTTGTCAAATTGACCTTTTGCGATCAGAATTCAGGAATTTTGTTTATGGATACTGTTGTCACGTATTTCGTCTTATTGGTATGACGTCATATAGAAATGATATTAGACATGATGGAATCACGAAATGGCGGACACGTGGCAGTTTTGAGCTAAAAATATTGTCGTTTCTTATATAAAAACCATGGGTCGGATATTTACCAGGTATGCCTATTTGACTAGATCATGAGTATGTCTATATATATGCGAAGTTTGGGTGAAATTCATACTAAACATCGATGCCTATAAGCGCCCCCCGTTTTTGTCAAAATCGGGGGGCGCTAAACCGCTATCTAAATCATGTCAGTAAGACCTTAGACTTGGTATGTGCTTAGCATGAATGTTGATCTAGTCAAATAGAACGCTTTCGTGAAAAATAAATCAATAAAGCACGAAATATAGAAGATAATCTCTCAAAATCAAGCATCTAAAGCTGTGTGACCTAATTGTGACGTCACTAAAAGACAGAATCCATTCGGTGATCGCAAATCATCAATTCTGTACTGATATTTTTCACAATTCAAATATATTTTTATTACATTGAATTGAAGAATGTGAAGATGACTAAATAACACTGATCTTAAGATATTATATAACTTATGATTCAAGCGTATCATAATAGAGCTAGTTTATTGTGTGGCATAATTTAAGAAAAAAACACAGTTAAGACCACCTGGATCTTTAAACCTATGTTTATGGCCCAAAAGTATTGAAATTCCCACTAAAATAACATGTAAAAAGCAGGTATTGCATGAACTCATAAAACATTCAGGTTTTACCTTCTATAACAAAATGGTGAATGATAGGTGTCAACTTCGATATTAAGTTTTCATCAGAGTGTGTTCTATGTGATCATTCAGATAGAATGGCTATGTCATGTTGTAACTTACTCTAACAATGTGATAATTTTTGCCATCATATACAAATACAAGTTGAATGTAAATATAACAAAGGTTTCCAAGCAATAAATTGTCTAGCAATCATTAACAATTGAAGGTTGAATAGTTTACTGAAATAAATTATGACAATAATTGATAATCTATCTGCTATATCATATTTTCTCATTTATTTGTTTCTCATATTTTCTAAAATATTTTCATCATGATGCTTCACCTCGTTCTTGTGCTGATTATGCATCATAATATCATCCTACCTACTGATGGTGCGGGGCCTACATGTAACAAATGTATAACCAAACTAAATGGAATATTGGGCACTTTAAAATCTGACTGTACTAGTGAAATAGCAGCAATGAAAACAGAAATGGCTAAATTGGTTTTGGAGATGGCTAAATTGGTTACAAATATGAATATAATTGGTGGAAAGTTGGACACATCAACAACAGAAGTAAATGAAAATAAGAAAAAGTTGGAAACTCAGAAAGTGGAATTGACCTCAGCTATAAATGATAATGGGGAAAAGATGGGAACACTAAAGGCTGAATTAACTTCTGCAATACAACAAAATAAAGAACAGTTAAATGCCATGAAGGGACAAGTAATGGAAGCAAAAAGTTGCGCATGTGAGAACAAACAAAGTAAGAACTTTATTAATACTTTTAAATCAAGATGTTTTAAATAAAAAATCAACTGAGGATGTAAGGGACGTTGGAACATTTCATTAGAATTGTTTGTGTTGTTGATGTACTGAAGTATAAAATATTCAGCATCACAGAATAGATGCAGAGGCATCCATTCCTTGAAATCTCACACCTTCATAACTTTTTGATTCAATAGAGACTTTGTTATATTGCTTTGAAATTTTGTTGAAGTTCTACTTTGATGAGATTTATAGATATTAGCATATTTTACCATGGAGGGCTTTTTTTCCTTATATCAGATGAAATATTTAGACTTTATGTACAATTTCCTACAATAATTTTACATATTTTAAACTTTTCTGAAAAAGATCAGGACAAATCCCCATTAACACAATGTTAAACAATCTTAAAAAAAAGTTGGTTTACTCTTTCAAGAATCACAATTGTCAGGTTAAACCCACTTGTCCACAAGACATGTGTAATCAATTACATACTGTATATGAATATAAGACTGAGTAAGCTAATTTTCAAAATGTGGTCATTTTTGGCCTACCATGTATTTATACATCTAAAAAACAGGTTCTCTATTTGATATAGGAAGAAGTTTGATATACTATGCAGGCTGGTCAAGAGATGATGGGTACATGTTTACTTTTGCACAAGCAAAGGCATATTGTGAGAGCCAAGGTCATAGGCTGGCCACACCTGGCCAGATGGATGCGGCATTTGAGCTTGGGTACTCTGAATGTGCCTGGGGATGGCTATCAGATGGCAGTACCAGATATCCCATGCAAATGCCTGGGGCTAGTGGAGGTTGTGGTCCACGACGTCATGTCAACATCCGACTCAATCGTAACCCAGATGCATTAGCAGGTGTTTACTGCTCTAGAGGGTGATTCCAAATTCAAAAAATGTTTATTTTGATGTAAATATATTATCATGAACAAATAACTGGCGAGTGAGAGGGGTGTACCATAAAACACTCTGACACGGTAATAATAGTTCATGTAGCGAAACAAATGTATGTCTCACACTAATTTCAAATAATATAAAATGGAGAAAACTACAAAAACAATTTATAAAAATGTTAAATTTTGATATAAAAGAGTAAATCCAAATGTAAAGTACAAAATACAAGTTTAGCATACAAATGAAAAGTCTGTCCCCTCCTGATATCTAATGGCCCATCTCTCATGTAACTTCTTTTACATTATGCCATTCCAAATTATATCATGGACTTTAAGTTCACTTGAATCACGCCCGGTGATCGTACAAAAATGATGGAAGATTTATTTTTTCAAGAGAAAGTTTACAACTGAATTGCCTGGCAAAATATGTTAGGTCATCTAGTATTTTTTTGAATTGATACCCTTCTCGGATATGAGATCTATTAAAAAAGGCGCATCATCACCAACGTGCATAAGTCAATGTTTTTGCTATAAATCGGGCAACAATGGTCTACACGACCTGTAATAAATAGGTATAAGGGACGTTATTATCACAATACTAATGAGATTGCTCACTTTTTAAAGTTAGTTTCCATGCGTTATACAAAAAATAATCGAAATAAATTAATTTGGGATGGAGGGGGGGATTTATATATCTTTACGATGGAAAAAATTCACAAGAACTCGTGTATTTGAAAAAACTAAACTCAGTACCCCAGTAAGAAACTGGATATTATATCTCTGGAGAATGAAAAATGGGAAAAATTTGGAGTCATAAGAATAAATTCAAGTAGCATGTCTCACGTGATCCCCCTACATCTGACCCCTCCCTCCATCCCAAATTAATTTATTTCAATCATTTTTTTGATCCCCAAAATAATTCACACTATTTTTACTTTTTTTCCGCGAACAATGAATCACACATTTACACTAGCTATTTGATGAGTGTGCATCCTATATTCTGTAATTTGATTGGTTCAGTGAAACCATTGCCATCTTGGGAAATCCCCTTTGCCTTGAACCCAGTATAAAATGAACCCCCCCTTGGTAAATCCAAGATATGCCCCTGGAGAAGCATTGGAGGGTTGAAACAAGAGATAAGAAGGATTAGAGATGAGAGATATCTGTGAGCATATCATCAGACAACTTCTCCGGTGCTTTCAAATTAGCTCCCACAGATGAGATTATGGTAAAGAGCGAATATGTTACCTTAACTGAACTGAACAATAATTTGAATGCTAACAACAATGTTGATATGGCTATAGTCCATTGTAATATTCGAAGTATGCCGTCAAATCAATGGAAATTAGTCAATCTTTTGTCATCACTTGATAAGGGAGCATCGATTGTTGGCCTTTCTGAAACATGGCTTTATGAGGATCAATAATCACAATATTCAAAACTAATGAATTTCAAAGGTTATTTTAAATCTCGATCAACTAGAGGGGGTGGTGTTGGTTTCTATATCAAGGATACTATTAACGTTAAAGAAAGACCAGATCTTCAATTTAATCATTTAGGATGCGATGTTTTGACAATTGAGGTTATTGTAAGCAATGGCAAAAACATACTCCTAACCTGTATATATAAGCCTCCTAATGTAGATATCGAAGAATTTAATAATAGTCTAGAAGTCTATTTTAATAATTTATCCAGAGAAAACAAAACAAACTATGTAATGGGTGATTTTAATATTGATTTATTTAAGACCAATCAGCATGAGCCAACTGAAAATTTCTACAACATCATGATATCTTATAATTTAATACCACTTATTTACAAAGCAACCAGGGTGACTTCAAGTACAGCAACATTAATTGACAACATTTTTACAAATGATATCAAAAATGGATTATGTGGAATAATTTTTAATGACATTTCAGATCACTTCCCTATATTTGCTACTTTTAATAAACCGATTCATCAGATAAAAGTAATTAACAAATCAATTAGAAAATACTCTGACAATAATCTCACTACTTTCCAAGAAAAATTAGCAAAAGAATCATGGGCAGATATTTTGAATAGTGACAACGCAAATACTTCTTACAATTTATTTGAAAACCGCCTTAAAGAAATTTATGATGAAAGTTTCCCAATAAAAACAATATCTGTTAAATTATATAATAATAATGAAAAACCTTGGATTACAACAGCTATACTTGTATCTGTAAGACAAAAAAGCAAATTATATAAGAAATATCTTCGTTTACCGACAAATCAAAATAAGGCAAATTTTAAAGTCTACTCAAAAATGCTAAAAACAATCATAAGATCAGCACATAAACGTTATTTTAGTAGAAAATTTGAGGAAAATCAAGGAAACATTAAGGCTAATTGGGAAATTATTAATGAAATTCTCCAAAGAAAAAATAAAAACCACAATATCCCAGACTCTTTTTTCCATAACAATTCTGAAATAAGTAATAAACTTGACATTGCTAACCAATTTAACTCCTTCTTTTCAAGGGTAGGTGAAACCCTAGCAGCTCAAATTCCTTCTACAAATAAAAGTCCTTTAGACTACATGAAAAATCTTGGCAGACAAGCTTCAACTTTATTTTTGAATCCAATTGACTCTAATGAGTTAGACATGGAAATATCTAAATTAAAAAACTCTGCGGCCGGTTTTGATGATTTCAAACCTTCCATAATTAAGCATTGTGGTAAGGCATTCCAATTACCATTATTACACATTTTCAATTTATCTCTAACAAATGGTATTTTTCCTGACAAATTAAAAATTGCAAAAATAACTCCAATTCATAAAAAGGAGGACAGTCAACTTTTTACAAATTATCGACCTATTTCGATTTTACCAGTCTTCTCCAAATTACTTGAAAAACTAATGCATCATCGCCTGACTTCCTTTCTCGACAAAATAGAAAATTTGTATCTTTATCAATTTGGTTTTCGAGAAAAAAAGTCAACATTCATGGCTGTACTCACATTTGTTGAAAAAATTAGACATTCTATAGATAAAGGTGAATTCTCTATAGGGTTATTTCTTGACTTCTCTAAAGCATTCGATACTATAGACCACAATATTCTCTTTCAAAAGCTTGAGTTTTATGAGATACGTGGTGTTGCACTGGAATGGGTCAAAAGTTACTTTTCTAATAGAATCCAAAAAACCTGTTACAAAGACACTATTTCAGATTCTGAGATAATTACATGTGGAATTCCACAAGGCTCTGTACTAGGTCCCTTGTTTTTTATCATATATATCAATGACATTTACTTATCCTCTCCACGATTATTTTTTGTGCTATTTGCAGATGATACTTATCTGTTAATACAAGGAAGAAATCTTAATGAAATCACAAATGCTTTGAATGCTGAACTGAAACTAATCGAGGAATGGATAGCCACAAATAAACTTTCATTAAATGCTAAGAAAACTAAATATATTATATTTTCTTCAAGACAAAAGCATTATAATAAAAATGAAATAAATGTCACTATGAATGACAAAGTACTTGAACAGGTGTCACATATAAACTTTTTAGGAATCATTATTGATCAAAATTTAACCTGGAAAAATCACATAACATCCGTAAACATGAAAATATCAAGAACCATTGGTATATTATACAAAGTGAAGCATTTATTAAATGTCAAAAGCCTACTTAGTATATATTATGCTTTGATTTATTCATACCTTATCTATGGAAATATAGTATGGGGTGAAGCAGGCTGTACATTACTAAATACCCTTCATCTCTCACAGAAAAAATTTGTAAGAATTGCAACAAATAGTGATTTTAGAGCTCACTCCCTACCTCTTTTTCATGACTTAAAAATATTGAACATATTTGAAATAAATAAGCAGCAGAGATATATTTTTATGATTAAATGGATCAACGACAAGGATAATTACAAACAAATATTCCCATCTTTTTTCAAAACAGTTGAGAATAGACACAACTACAACACAAGAAATAAGAAATCTTATGACAAGCCAAAAACCCGCACTAACTATGGAAAATCAATGTTAGCGTATTCTATACCTGATATTTGGAACCAACTACCCCCGCACATTCAATCCATCAAAAGTACCATTTTCATGAAAAAACAAACCAAGAAATATTTATTGCAACTTTAATTCCTTCCTTGGGCAATTTGATGGCACATATTATATTTTTTGTCGAGGGCATGCCACGGCAGATCCCCAAACTGCATAATGTAACATACTTGTATTTTACTCACTCCATCTGTGGGAATATACACAAATTTTGTGTCACCCACTTCATTGTTAACTATTGTATGTATTATATGAAATAAATAAATAAATAAAAATAAAATAAAAGATACCCAGTGCTTTCAAATTAGCCTCCACAAATGAGACGGGCATTTTAAAGGATGTTTTGTAAATTGCCATAAAATCGTGGCAATTTGACATAGACCAATGAAAGAACATTAAACAAGGTTCAATTTTGCCATATATGATTTTAAACCCATGCTGAATGACTAAGTTATCAACATCTGTTTGGGTTACCTTTTTTGGCTCACCCTGTACGATACATATGAATTATCAACTTGAAAATAAAATCTCATTATCATGAATCTTTCAGATTTGTGATCTTACTATTCAATATATTTGATTTGAACATTACAATGCCTTACTTTGAAGAGATCCCAACAATAAGATATTTTCCTTGATTGTTTCCTAGACATGTGTATTACATGTCACATAGATACACTGCCTCATAGTTTTGGAACAGAGTAACAAAGCATACAGACAGATAAACAGAGGGATTGTCTATATCCTCTAAACTTTGTTTGAAAGGATAATAAATTAATTAATAATATAAATACATTGCCTAGCAATTATAAATTGAAGGTTAAAGAGCTATCTAGATAATTAACATTAGCAATAGCTAATATATCATATTCTAGAATTAAATTAAATTACGTATCATTCTATTGCGTTTTACAATATCTTCATCATGAGGCAACAGGTTGTTTTTCTGTTGATTACTTTTCAAAATATCTTATCTACTGATGGTGGAGCTCCTAAATGTACATGTAAGGAAGATATTGACAAGTTAAAAGAAACCATGAGAACATTTACGTCTGATATAAACAATGAAATAGCAACCATGAAATCAGAGATCGCTAAATTGGTTTTGGAGATGGCTAAATTGGTTACAAATATGAATATGGGCCTAATTATTGGAAAGTTGAACACATTAACAAATGAAATAAATGAAAATGGTGAAAGGTTGGACACATTAACAAATGAAATAAATGAAAATGGTGAAAGGTTGGACACATTAACAAATGAAAATAATGAAAAAATGGCCACACTAAAGACAGAATTAACTTCAACAATAAATCAGAATAAAGTAAAATTGGATGCTCTGAAGACACAAATGACAGAAACAAACAGTTGTGCATGTGAGAGCAGAAAACGTAAGTCCCTGATATTGTTATTTCAGTTTTGGGTTGGAAAGTTATGTATTTTTTAATTTGAGATTTCTCAAGAATATGGCATCATGTATTTGTACTCCTTGGGGCAAAATATGATATTTTTCTCCCTATTTTTCTAATACATTTTTTATGTTTTTTTACAAAATTACAAAAATTAACTCCTGATGTCTTTTGTTTTGCTGGCAGTATGCTAAAGTAATAATATTGAACTTAATAGGAAAAAGAGATCAGGATCCACGAAGACATATAATTGTTTTTATATAAACATAATACAATGCATATAAACATAATACTGGATGAGCATAATGTAAAAGTGGTTTTGAAAAGTAGCAAATTTCTCTTTATGTAGGTTTTTTGTGGTTTATTATTCTACATTGATTCTGAAACTATTGGTGTCTAGTTTTTCAGCGTTTTGGAAATATGCAGATTTATACCCCCCTGGTGTTATTTTAAGGGGGGTCCTAGGAAAGCCATGTATAATTCCTAGAGTATCCAACCAATCATCTTGAAATTTACAGGTAATCATCTTCTTATCATGTCCTATCATTGTGAGCAGTTTCATCAATATTGGTTAGCTGGTTGCTATGGTAACAGAAATCACTTGTTAAAAAAGTACACATTTTCGTAAAAATTTAAGACCTACCCTGAGACAAAGCACATAATATTTTCCTGGAATTGGGAGGAATTAGCATGAAAACATATTAGAAAACTTATTTAGAGTATGGTTGATAATACTAAATCAATTGATGTTTTATTTTAGCCATACAATTAATTATATTTGCCGATGATAATATGGCTATGCAAAAAATGTGTAAAAGGGGGCGTGGCACTTTTCCCAAGAAAACTTTATTTGTACCCAAGTTTGTGAATAAATATATGACTATTCATTCTGATATTAACAGATATTAGTATAGTTATGATGTTTAACCATCATGGGAAGTTTCACTATTGTTGGTCTGCTGGTTGTTATGGTAACAGAAATCATTTGTTAAAACAGTTGACCATTAAAGGGGTATGGGGTATATTATCTAATTAAGGATATAAACTTTGTCTTCAAATATACATTCATGGCTTTGTGAGGTCATCAATGTGATTTTATTTATGTGTGCTTAATTTGCATCTTGGAATGAAGTTTTGAGGAAAACGCATTTTAACAAAATCAAATAAATTATTGTTTATATTAAATAAAATCAGTAATCTCATTCTGGATGATACTAATTTATCACTCACTCACATGCTTACCTATATATTTGTTTCTTTTCAAATCAACCTGACATCTTTATGAAATATACATGTTTGAGTGATTCCCGTCATGCTTAATATCCAGATAGAAAATAATGTTATTCATAAAAATAGTTAATGATTCCTATTTGATATAACAATATTACCAAATTTAGAGCATTAATTAAATGTTGCAATTAGAATTTAGACTTCATTAAAGTGATGGCAAATTAAATCTGCATTCCTAGGAATAAGTTGTATATGCAATGATAAATCAGTTGTTGATATGAGCTTTTGTTGTCAATGTTATGCTTCAATTACCACAGTTCATGCCTTCTTGATTAGCTGTGCAGACCTGATGAAATAGATATACGTTGTGCGGTTAAGCTGTGCTACATCTAGATAGAGGTGAGTGATTGTGGACAGGTGAGTGATTTAAGTCAGGTGAGTGATTTTGGACAGTGGTTCCAAACAGTGCGGTGCGGTTGCCTAACTGATTACTGGGCAGTTGCGAGTGATTTTGGACAGTGGTTCCAGACAGTGTGGTGCGGTTGCGTAACTGTGTAGATGCAGAGGCATTCTTTATTTTCTTTATTTTATAATTTTAGGGTGAAGTCAAGGTAGGTGATCTAATACACATTGTTTATGTGTGCTGCATACAGATAAAGTTTAGTGACTCTGTGTTAATAGATTGAGTGATTTTGGACAGTGGTTCCAGATAGTGTGCTGCGGTTGCAGTTGTGCTATATACACAGTTATTCCTTATTTTTTACTTTTACGTTTCAGTTAAGGTAGGTGATTTAATACACCATCGTTTAGTTTCCATTATTGCATCGTGGAGTGTTGCCCTTCCAATATATATACTTTTTTCCATATATCATGCAACTGAGTAGAACCCTGTAAATCAATGTATTAGTGTTGTTACGTATATATCATGTCCGAGAGAAGTTTGAGGAAAAGATCCTCTGCTCTAGCAATTGGTGAAGAATGTCATAGTGAGAAATTACGCCAAAGCAACCTTTTTGAACAAAACAAGTGCCTCTTTTGTGAAAAAGATCTGAAATATCTCAAAGGAAACACAAAAGAATCATTAACAAAATGCCAAACAGACAACGCTTCAACATCAATAATAAATGCAGTGAAAGCCCAAGAAGACTGGACTTTACATGCAAAAATAGGAGGACGCTGTTTGATATCAGCAGAAGCTTGGTACCATAAAACCTGTAGAAGAAATTACTTGTGCAAGAAAGTACGAACGATAAATGAAGAGGAAAAGGTTTTAATAACATCATTTGACTTCATATGTAAGCATATAGATGAACATGTCCTTCAAACCGATGGAGTTGAAACACTTGAACATGTCCATGAGCTGTATCAGGCACATATGAAGGAAAACAATCTGAGTGACTATAACCCCTAAATATAAACAGCTCTTCCTGAAGAACAAACTTTCTGTTCGCTATAAAGATGACCTTTGTTGCAATCTACTCTTAATTGCCTTTCATTTGAGTATAATAAAGCTATACTTCATAAAGATCTAAAAATTAGCGAAAATTTCTGTTTTCCTGAAAAACACAGAATATATGTGAAATAGATAGATGTTGCGAATATAAATATATAAATTATATATAATAATATAAATTTCAAACAATAATATTAATTACTTTGGTTTAGAATGAAAAATTTATGATTTTTGCGAAAAAGTCCCGTCATTTTTAAAGCGGCAGCCATCTTGAAAAAATTTTTTTTGCGTAAAACTATTCATCAATATACATCTTTCCACCAAATATGAAGAAAATCCGTCAACTAATATTTGAGTTATCTTCCGGACGGACGGACGGACTGACTGACTGACTGACATACTGACGGACGGACGGACGGACGGACGGACGGAGGGAGGGCTTAACTATATCCCTACCGAACTTCGTTCGTTGGGATAAAAATGTAGATATCAAGGAAAACTGACATTATTTTTTCACTTTGAACACAAATAAAGAATTCTTAGGAAATTGTGCCATGGCCCCTTTCTAATTTTTTTGCAAAGCCAGTTTACCATCAGCAAGTAGAATTCTTTGTATGGCTAAGATAAAGCATCAAATGATTTAATTTTATGAAACATACTCTAAATAAATTTTCTAAAATGTTCTCATCCTGACTGTCATAAAAATATTATGTGTTTTGTGTCAAGGTATGTCTTAGATTTTTAAGAAAATACAATCTTTTTTAACAAATGATTTCTGTTACCATAACAACCAGCAGACCAACAATAGTGAAACTTCCCATGATGGTTAAACATCATAACTATACTAATATCTGTTAATATCAGAATGAATAGTCATATATTTATTCACAAACTTGGGTACAAATAAAGTTTTCTTGGGAAAAGTGCCACGCCCCCTTTTATACATTTTTTGCATAGCCATATTATCATCGGCAAATATAATTAATTGTATGGCTAAAATAAAACATCAATTGATTTAGTATTATCAACCATACTCTAAATAAGTTTTCTAATATGTTTTCATGCTAATTCCTCCCAATTCCAGGAAAATATTATGTGCTTTGTCTCAGGGTAGGTCTTAAATTTTTACGAAAATGTGTACTTTTTTAACAAGTGATTTCTGTTACCATAGCAACCAGTTAACCAATATTGATGAAACTGCTCACAATGATAGGACATGATAAGAAGATGGTTACCTGTAAATTTCAAGATGATTGGTTGGATACTCTAGGAATTATACATGGCTTTCCTAGGACCCCTCTTAAAATAACACCAGGGGGGTATAAATCTGCATATTTCCAAAACGCTGAAAAACTAGACACCAATAGTTTCAGAATCAATGTAGAATAATAAACCTCAAAAAACCTACATAAAGAGAAATTTGCTACTTTTCAAAACCACTTTTACATTATGCTCATCCAGTATAAGGGGCTCAATGCTTGTCTAAGATATCTCAAAATACATGTAATTTAAAACTCATTTCATTAAAAGAAATGAACATACCATACTTTTCTATAGGTTAAAGGGTATCTATATTTTGGCCCAAGGTGTATGTTAATGGGGCATAAAAAGACCAGGTATGGTCACTAGTCAAGCTACAAGCCCATATGACCCGCCATCCCACTACCTGACTACACATCTTCTCACACAAGATGATAAAGAAAACAAACAGGGGGGGGTCCAGAGTCTTGAGGCAAGACTATTATGAACTCATCTTGACACATTTTTCAACGTGTCAGATTAATTTTCTGAAAAGATGCCCTTTCTTTTATCATTCTTGAGATCAAAAGTTTCTTTTGTGCTACATCAGTAACTTCAGGGGGTGGGGACAGCATTGATATGAAATAAGGTGGAAAACAACATATTATATGCTATTTTCCAAGGGAAAACTCATGCTATCCATTGTTTTCAGCTCAAGTTTGGTCACAAACATTTCTTCTAATTTATTCTTGTCAATTTACTTTTCAAAAATTTAAGGTCTCTTGTTATTTATATAAGACATGCAATGAAATTGAGAAAAACAAGGAAGGTCCACTAATTCTTAAAAAATAAGTTCAATATTTTGAAAATGTGTTGAGGCGAGGTCCTAATCCACGTTTGTTTGGGGAGTGATAGATAATTTTCCTGAGGACCTTTAACTTAAATCATTCGGCATACCTGGTCCTTTCAAATTCATTTTTGCATCATGATCTTGAAGGGATCACAAAGGCCTAACATCACAGAATCACGCTTTAAATTCAAAATGTCCACTCAATTATCCAGCATACAATAGCAACAGCACTTTTGAGTGTGAATAATGTGTGATCTTCGAGCTGCTGAAAAATTTGCTTTGTCTTCATTTTATACAGAGAGAAGAAGGATTTACTATGCTGGAGGGTATATCTATACTTTTGCGCAAGCCAAGGCATATTGTGAGGGTCAAGGTCATACCATAGCTACACCTGGTCAGATGGATGCAGCATTTGAACTGGGAATGGCGATCTGTGGATATGGGTGGTTATCGGATGGCAGTATAAGATATCCCACACAAATGCCTTCACATACTGGGGGTTGTGGAAAACGAGGAGTCAACACCATTTTTAATCGAAATCCCCATCATTTGTTTGGGGTTTATTGCTCTCGCTAGTTAAGTGCAAGATGACTCACACATATGTAATCTAGCTGGAGTTTACTGCTAACACAGTCTTTCAATGAAATCCTTTGTAATGATAAACTCGTATTTCAATGTTAAAGTATCAAAATAAACTAATGTAACTGGATAGTGATTACAATAGTTAATATTGAATGAGATATGGCAGGAGACAAATTTTTTAAGACAAACTCTTTTTAATACACAATATCAACTATTAGGTACTGAATTATGTTCAGCCTACTTGACATTAAAGCTACTTTACATACTACCTCCTAAAATTAAGGGTTGGGACATATTTGATGAAAAACTTGAGATACTGTAAAAATAAAATCTTTCCATGTTAATATTGAAAGCTAAAACTGGAAGCATTTGTAACAAGGTCAAATAAGAAAACTCACCCATTTAAAATAATTTCACTTGTAATTAGAAAATATTGTTTGGTCTTTTTACTGCCACAACAATCATATCCAAGCATTGAAACCAGTAGATACATAGGAATAGAGTTACCTTACCTGCCCTCCACTCCAATACTTTGATATTAACTCCATTATCCCCAAAAAATATTTTATCTCTCGACACCTGCAAGCTGAGAATATTTCTGAGAATAAGGCTCCCTCTGGTGACTGATTGTACATTCTCTGACTCGTACATCGTGCAAAGTGTTCGGTCACGTACAGTGTAGATCTTGATGGTGCCATCGCTACACGAACAATGTATCGAGTCCTCAACTACCTGTAATAAAAATAAAGTACATCTAAGGCCAAACTGCCCTAATATGTCACTTCTGCTGAATAGAAAAAAGTAGTTTTCAAAAATGAATGTAGTCCCAACACAATTGTGATCATGACGAGTCAGTAAGCTAGTATGTACAGTTGTCATCTTTTTGCAATGACAACATGCCATTTCTTCTGAAAATGTGTTTATTTGGGTTATCTGAAGGAAAACTTCGAGTCAAGTGGCGTATTAATTTTGCCTTCATTTTTGTGAATTTCAATTTCTGTCGGCAGAGAGAGGGGGTAGTGTCACGATTGACAAATTATTTCAAAAAGTAGATGTTTGGCCCCTATTGAGTTAAGTGTCAAAATGTAGCTTAGACATAGCTTTAGAACCTCATATGGGCCAATGAGGCCACATAAATCCATAACTCGAGATAAAAAGTCAGGCGTCTGCCCTTTTGCCCATTGACTAGTATGGTGACGTGAATTAGGGCAGTTTTGTCCAAGAGATAAACACAACACACGATAAGTTCGGTGTCTTTTATTTCTTTTTTTTTACTTTTACATCACCCCTGACCACACTGACACATGGTTAACCGATAGTTTGTTATTGTTGGTCAAATATTTGACCAATAGCTTGGAGCCTTAAAAATGCTTTCCTATTAGCCAATCAGCTATGGCGTTACAGCAATGGTTAAGTTTTGAAACATAATATAAAAAGAACTCTGGTTGTGGAATCACAAATGTATAAAATCAATGTAAGGCAATATTAGTTGATTATTTCAAACTAAAGAAGACATTCCATTAACCTTTGAAAAAAGCATGAAATATGCATGGTTTGCATGAAATATGCATGGTTTGCATTTTCATGAGCTGCGTAAAACATTGTCAAATGGATTTTTAAATGTAAAATAACGAATTGAAAAACTGAATTGAAACAAATAAGTATAGACTTACATGGATGCATGTTACACGATCCTCAAACGCTAATACAGAATGGACAGTTTCTCCACTAACAGGATCCCACAGCTCTAACTTGCCACCATCTGTAAAATGTAAACATTGCTACATTGGGGGGAATACTTTGCCTGAAATATCATTTTGTTTACCATAATATTGAATGACTAAAGCACCATAATAACTCAGTAAACATTGTGGAGGGGGATTACTTTGACAGTCAACCTTTGTTAAGGTCAATAATTGTGTCTTAGTTATGGCTAATTTATAATACTGATATGACACTTAAATAATATGAACTCATCATTAGACAGGGAGAAAGTATTTTTATTACCAACAATGGTCATCAGATGCTTGACATTTTCAACTCGCTAAGTGTTATTTATGTAATATTTTATTATTTCAAACTGAAGACAGAAATGCATGTGAATGTCTACAGCATCTTATAATGACACTGACACAATGACACAAAGCTAGGGTGATAGATACTAACCTGAGCCAGATACAATCAGTCCAGCACCTCCAATGTAGCCAATCGTTGTTACTGGATTAAATGTATAAATGGATTTCAATGTTGAGCCTAAAAATAAATGTTTAACATGTTTAAGTTAAGAGAAAACAAAGAAACATGACAAAGTCTATGCCATGAACACAATAATTCACATTATTACAGCAAAACCTATTAAGTGGAACACTTGATTTTAACCAAGGCTGTTCCACTCACAAAGGTTTTACTATATTTTTGTAACCAGTTGAGACAAACATAATGTTCAGACTATTGACATTGTGAAATTGATATTTTTGTATTGTTTATTCAACTGTAAACTAAACATTAATATTAACACAATGGTCATAAATTCAATTAATGATCCAAATGTTTACAAAAGATGCACATTTAGAGGTGCACATCTGCATAATAATTCAATATACTTTAACAATGGATTATACATGAGACTATAAACTAAAATCATCATGAGTCAGCATGCAGGCGGTGCAGTTGTCTGATGGGGATTCATTGAAAAGCTTACCAGTATCTATGGACCAAAGCCTAAGAGAGCAATCCAAGGATCCGCTCACCACAATCCTGTCTGTATCATTCAAATTGTATTCTCTACCTAAAAATACATGTTTTGGTTTACATACTATTAAGGTAGAAACTTTGTTTTATTTGCATGATGTCAAAAATCTAGCATTGGTGGAATAGATTACTTATTTTCATATTGATAATCTATACGCCTTTCACAAAAACTCATGTTTATATCATGAATTATTAATGCACCAATTACTTAAGATGGTATCCAAATGCTGACATTTGAAAAAAAACAAACTTGATTTATTATGGTTTAACAACCTTTCCAAATTACAAATGATAATTTGTTAAATGAAAATGATGATTTGTAATCCATTTCAGCGCCCTCACCAGGAAATATCTGGGGTGTGAGGAAAACATCTGCAACATAGCGTCCAATGGTGATACAGGATGGTCAAAAAACTAGAAACCCTAACACCATTTTTGTAATATCAATTGCAGACCTCAAAAGTGAGATCATCTGTATCATTCAGGCCATACCTGCTAAGGAATGTATTTGTATCATTGACAACTGTACAGGTTTGCCAACAGTGCAATAATGCCAAACCTATGTTGTTTAAAGTGCTGTAAAATTGTGACTATCAGTCTGATGGTCATGAAATATGGTAGGGTTGTAGGAAATTGAATGATTTACAAATATATGAAATATCAGGGAGTAATTTCAAAGATATGAGGAAAATGCAGGGTTTCCGTTTTTTGACCACCCTGTAAATCATATTTATGTTACATTTTATCCTTTTATATCCTATTCACAGTCTATTCAGTCAAGTTTAGACTGTGGAAACCAGCATGATTTGCCAAAAGGTTGTGTTAGGGGCTAAATAGAGTGTGGTGCTGGGCAACAGTCTAAAAGCCTAGCGAGAGCCCTGCCCTTTCATTTTCCTTGGCAATCATCATTTTCAATTAACAATATCTTCATTTACACTCTCTCCCAATAAAACCAACTTTGCTCCGCCGCAATTATTGATAATGTAAACCTGTTTTCGAATCTCTTGTGGTGCTGCTACTATTTGAAGTCTACCCACCAATTATTGTTGAATGTTGTTCATCTAGTAGGACTATAGCAGTGACAGTCCCAGAGTGACCCCCCAGATTCCTGATTTCTGCGCATGTAGCACAATTCCAGACCTTTACTGCTGTGTCTTTCCTGTGAACAATAAAAATGATGGCACTGTAAAACATATTACGATCATATTTACATGTACCTGTTTCACCACATATTTTTTCATGTCAGATACATGTCAGGCATACATACAAGTATATGTGCATATGTATGTACATGTATTTTAGTATAAAGAGAACGTTTTAAAAGAGATCTTACCCCCCAGATATTGCTATTTGTCCATCACATGCCACAGTACACACAGAATCCTCATGTCCCTCTAGGGTACGCACATCAAAGCTGATGTTTCTCCATTGTTGTAACTCTTCAATTCTTTTTTGATCCTCACTCTTCCCTGCAACACACATAATCTTGATATATTCCCTTATTGATTATTCTCTATATTCTGTTTCTTAAAGGGCTTTATACTGCTTGCAAAGCTCAGTTACTTCCCTTCCATTTACCCATTCTCTAGATCTTTTAATCATACATCACTTCAAAATCTTTTTCCACAGAGTATAGCTTTTGGTCAACCTTAAAAACACAGTACACTCTCTGAATTATACTACATTGTGTACCAGATCACAAGCTACAAATCAACTAACAACTGGCCTAGTTAACTTAACTTTTGGAGATTACAAGGAATAAAAATAAATCCATAAAAGGTGTCCCCTTAGACATATTTAGTGATTAATGACAGGCAGGTGGCCTTAAGCCCTCTATTTGTGACACTTAGTCCCTTAAAGGTTCTATTGTACCCTCATAGCTTATATCATTTTAGTGCTCCAACATGGCAAGTAATGCAATTATTACAAGTTTAACGCATTAATGTAATATTTGACATTACATTTCCCAATTTACAGTGTTTTAGTGATCTTAATATTTTGTGTATGAAATGGATATTAAGGAACATGTCAATTCAAGGTTATGTAGACCTCAAAGTCTGAGTCTTTAAAGGGAGCCCTTTAAACATAAAGCAAGTACAGTGTACATCTTAAATCACAATGTAGAAGAGAATATAAAATACTTGTTGCATTAGAACTGGGAGGGCATTGTTCTCTCCTCACAGGTGAATTTGAACTTTGGTATTCCATATGATCAAGGTCAAAACAGTGGTTTTAAATTAAAACATAATAATACAGAAACAATGTTTGAAATACACAAGACCAACCTGCTTTCAGCTTCTTTTGACTTGTCACTGGAACATTTTTCTGCTCAGTTTCTTGCTGTCTGAAAAAAACAAGTTGATTGTGAGTATTCATATCTTGAATCACAACAGTATGTTCACCCAATAAACGTCTCTAGTGTTTATATATAAGATGTAATATGTTGACCTTCATAATAATTATCATTTGCATACTTTAGAGTTTGTTCCTGTTTACGTCTTTTAACAGGTACAGGAGGGGTCTGTGTTTGATCTGGGGTAGTCTCCATGGTAGCTTTTGAAGCAACTTCTGGTAAAGATTGTTCATCACATATGGCTTCAGTATCTCCCTCTCCATTTACTTCAGCAGTAATTGGTGGTTCTAGGTCAATTTCTGATTTGTTTATGGCACTGTTATCATTGGCTGTGATATCTGCATTAAAACAAGGAGTCGCCATTCATTATTTTACAGCAGTTGGTTGACTTGATTTGATAAACTATCAAGGGGTTAAGTGCCAGATTCGTCTGGCATGGGGATCGATACTATTTTTCATAAATTTGAAAGAAAATATCACAATTTCAATTTATTAACTCAGATTTTCATATCGTATCAAAAATAGCCTACTTCAATACTTCATGCAATAGGCACATCATTTGGGTAACCTTCATTTCTGTTTGATATCCAATAAGGCTAGGAGTAAAAGATATTGGAAAGAGCGCAAGGGTACCATAATCTAAATCATATGTTTTAGTTTTTAACTTCCTAATGTCATATTATAGCAACTTGATTATTTTTTTGAAGTCTTTATTAACTCTCATAAGTAAGACCTAGAATTAAGGTTTTAGAATTTTAGTTTTTCCAAAAAATAATCTTAACATTTCTTGACCACTTTTAGGGTATTGTCCACTATTGGGGGTCAGGTTTAAACAAGAAATTCAGATCCCCATAGTTAATGCTTACCACTAAAACTTGATTCAACAGATAAGTTGCTTGTTGAAGCATCTTCCAGGAGTTCATTACCCTCAGAAATTTGTGAAAGGTATTCAAGTAGTTTTGATCTTATATCCAACTTCTTAATTACCTGTAATTTAAAGCAAGGTAGTTCTGTAGTTTGTTTGTTTAATCTTTATTTCCTCCAAAATAATGGAGTTAGACCATTTTACATAAAATATAACTTGTAATAACATAACATAGTTACATATTTTGGAAAACATCAACATTAGATCAGATTCATAATTCTATTGAGTAATTTGAATCCAGAAAATAAGCAATCAAAGTACCATATTGAAACAGTATATGTAAAAATAGAAACATTTATACTGTACATGGCCTAACTTTTGTATATTCTAGTTTGTTTTGTAGTGTTGCTACCATATTATGCACGGTGACCAAGAGTTAACAGTGCAAATCGGCCCGGTCGTGTTTTTTTAAACTCTTTAGTCGTGTTTTGTTGAAAATTTGAGAGGTAGGTTGATAAATTTGGTCATGAAATTGCTGTCACTTGACTTTATGTAAAAGTAAGTAATTTATATTGCTTTCCATACTATATATCTTAACTTCAGGTATTCGTAAACGTGTTATTTGCACGAATCGTATGCTATAGTCTTGTTATATCGGGAAATGAGCAATTCTGTCAGTGTTTTACATATTTTGCCTGAAAATCACTTGCCTGACTTGTATTCAATGAATACATCGATTCATAAGGAAAGCATTCACAATATGTGCGAAAATCAAAAGTTAGAAGAGCTTAAATAAGTAGCAATTGACCGAATAATATTTTTTAGATTAAACTCTTTAGACGTGTTGAAAAGATTGCGGTTAATGACGTTGACCTGTTAGTGAGGTTTAACGATTTGGAAGTGGGAAACAGCACAATTAACATTATGTATTTCCCAAAAAATGATCACAATGTGGAAGAAGTTGTTGTCTGAGTGACACTATCTTAATTATAAATGATTAACAATAATCAAATGTACGACATAATATGTCAAGATTGATCTATGGGATCACTACCGAATTTGATACTTAAATCAAAATGGTTAGAATCAGACACGCATGGTTAATGCAAGCGAGCTTTGCCTCGTCGCTCGTCATTTTGAAAATTTGACCAGTCATATTATTTTTTAATTGCCCTGTCGCTCATTAAATGGCTCGTTGCTATTTTTGAATTTGCCTAAAATACGTTTTAAAACGTCCCTATTGGCCTTAAACTCACTTTTCCCTGTCAAGAACGTAAATAAATTTATTTAAAATGAGAGGAAATGTTTAGTTTGTGATGCACTACATGTAAATGCATATATATGATCACCTAACGTAAGGAATAACTCCACCGTTATTAAAATCGTATGCCCAATATCTATTAGGTTTGCCTCGGGATTTTTAACAATTTTATTCGATGTTATTCCCTAATTCGCCTCACACAATGCAATACAATTTCAATTTTAATTTTCAAATTGCAATAGGTAAAAAACGCTACATATGCTGCTATCGTTCTATGAGTGATCTATGAACTGTAGTGTAACATAGTTTTCTAGCGAATTAAATTACAACATCTGTTGATCTTGTTAAATCATATATCTGTCTTTTTTATTTATTCATATCTTGACTACAAATTACAATAAACGGGTGACACATAATGTATATTCCCGTGTTTAGTACTAATACGATTATTTTCAGAAGCACAGACAAATTATTAAGCAACAAAACATGGTCAATGTGAACAATATTACAAGACAATTCAAAGTCGTTAATTTTATCACGTCTAAAACGTTATCTTTACAATTCCAAAACGTTAACATGCTTATTATAAGACACGTCCATGACGTTATATTGTCCCTTCTCCATAGTTAACTCCACTTTCTACATTTACGGTCATTTATGGCAATTTTAAGATAAATACAGTTAAAATATTTACACGATCTTTAGAGTAGTGAATATTATTCCACGTTGTTGAATGGATTGTCTGTTTAAACTTGATTAAATAACACTAAATGCAAATTAAGTACATATTTCTGGCACTTTTGGTATATAATTGCGATTGATATGAAGTATGATGGATTTATCCCCAAAATAGATTCGTTGGTATGAAGAAGAACATCTTAGGTAGAAGTCAAGATATGTAAGTTTGTAAAATATAGAATATTCTTACCATTTTGCTCCATTCTATCGAATGTCGCATCCCATGTTCTTACAAAACACGACTAAAGTGTTTAAAAAAACACGACCGGGCCGATTTGCACTGTTAAATCTTGGTCACCGTGTTATGTGTGGCCTCTTATTTTGATACTTCTTATCTCTGCCATGTTATTTTCAGAAAAATTAACATGGCTGATACATCCTTAATTACAAAAGGCCTCAGCTTAGCTGCACATTATACATAACTATCTGAAATATACAAAAGTGAGGCCTCGTACTTATGTTTCTATTTTTCTATACTGTTGCAATATGGTCATTTAATTGCTTATTTTTTAAATTAAAAGTACGCAAAAGAATTTTGAATCGGACTGAACATTACATTTTTATGATATACTTGCGTGAGTAAATCACAAAAACCTCACTATTATAAATTATATCAAGTATTCAAGTTATAAATATCCTCCGTATTGCAGGGTTACAGAATCATACACAAAGTTCCTGGGGTACCCAGAGGTTACTTAGGTCCAAAGCCTTCTCTATATTCCAGCTTTGAGTGATTGTTAAAGCCGCCGTGGTATTCAATATTTGTAAATCATGGTGACACATGCACAGGTGTTATGACATAATTATATGAAACATACCTTTATGCATAATATCAGCTGATATCTCCGTCTTAATCGATTGTTATTTTAATTTAGCTAAGTGAAATTTCATTTCAAAATGGCCTCCATTTTTCTGCTGAGTGAGCTGTATAAATGCCGTATCCATAGAGTTTGAGCATGGGCATTCAATAATCTATTAAAAGCCCATGGTTTGTAAGGTTCTTTCCAAAATTAAATTTTGAAATATCTTATCCAGACAAGCAACTCTTCAACTTAATATAATTAATATTCTTATAAATATTTACAAGAATTATTAAATAGGAGTTCTAGGTGCCTGTGACACTTTTTCTAGATTACATACGAAATCAATGAAGTCACATATGAAGACTCAAGTAACCCAAAGGGTACATATTTATTCAAGTCTCTAGCCAATTCTTGGCTTGAAGAAATTCCATCTGGAACACTGTGAACTATTGTAAAATTTCTAGCCGGGGTTCAATAAAAAGTAATATATGCTAAAAACCGTCATCTTAATATTTCACGATTTGAAATGGTAACGAATTGTCTTGTTTATGAGATATTGAATGTTTTCATTTAAAATAGAAGTCGTCCACCAATCCTTTGTTGAAAAAACATTGACAAATTATAGTTTTAAATGTGAAGAGAACGAGCTTTGAACGAGCTTCAATATAAAAAAATCAAATCTTCTTTTAATTTTGAGAGTACGCCATGGCGTTTTAGCGTATATGATGCTACGCCATTGGCTGCACCTCCTTGTCATTTGCTAGCTATGCCCAGAAGAGGATGGTTATTCAATTGACAGAAAAATCTGTGATCCGACTGGTGTTTCTTTACTTGAATCCATATCCGTATCCGGCATTTACAGATCTGGTTTTTATTGACTACCTAAACGTTACACCAATAGTCCATTTTCTCCACTTGGTCACTCTTAGATTTAGCCAAGTATTGGATGATTGGAGGCAGTTTTGATCAATTTTGCAAAGGGTTAATTTTATTCTCATCTGTCTCAAAAAAACAGGAATATCCCAGAATTCATACAGTCATAGGCCAAGGGTTCATCTATAATCCTGGGAAATAACCTCTCCTGGACGTAAACTCAAAAAACTTAAATAAAACTTAAATAATTGTGAGAATGTTAAATTAAATATGTAATTTAATTAAATAATATTAATTAATAACTGCTGTGATTTGATTTGTCGACTGCAGAGACATCTTTCAAGTAAAAAAGATGGCGATTGGATGTCGATTTTTCATGACCATGGGTTGCTCGGTAAAAGCAACCAGATTGTTTCGTCAATGAGATATTTATAGGAAGTCCCTTTGTTGAAATACCCTGGAACGACTGTCAGGCTACCGAGTTGACATCGCCCCTCTTTACCAGTAGTGTAGGCTTGTTGTTATGCACTGGGACATTCTACATTTGAAATTTTAAAAATTTACCATAGACCTATTGCTAAAATACAACTTAGCTTAATTGTTAAGCTGTTTACTGACAGAAGAATCAGATTTAAAAGTAGATAAGCTGTCACTGTCTAAAATATCACTAGGCAGAGTGTTCTATTTTACTATTGTCCTTGGAAAGTAGCTAAACTAGTATGCATCCGTTCTGGCAGCTGGTTGGATGAATTTGGATGGATGGAACTGTCTGGTGTTTGTGTTTGTTTGAGGGCTGTAGTATGTGGGTATATAGATGGCTGCTAAGTGTTCCTTTGTAGAAAAGGGAAAGTCTGGAAGCCTACCTATGCGATTGTAGCGATTCCCACTGCAGGTGTTGGAGAGCTTGGGTGACACACCCTGGTTCCCTAGAGTGACATTTGGTAACAAATCTGGTTGCTTTCCTTTGTACCTGTTTCAGCATGTTTATATCCTTCTGGCGGTAAGGATCCCATGCTGCACTAGCATATTCTAGGTTTGGCTGTACTAGCGACTTGTATGCCTGGGCTTTAATGTTCTCTGGGCACTGATGGAGGTTGCGCTGGAGGAAGCCTAGCACTTTGTTAGATTTCGATACTACTGTTTGTATGTGTGTGATCCAGTTTAGGTCGTGATTTCAATTCCTACATTTTCCTAGGTATGGTATGTGGGCCACAGATTTTAATTCTTCACCCAAAATCGTGTACTTATGTGTGATGGGTGATTTACGTCTGTGAATACTCAGTACATAGCATTTTGAGGGATGGAATTTCATTTGCCATGCATTTGCCCAGGAGACCATTTTGTCAAGGTCATCCTGGAGTGTTAGTGCGTCCTGTTGGTTCTCGACAGACATGAAGAGGAGGCTGTCATCTGCAAATTGTTTGAGGCTGGTTGTTGGTGATAAGTCGCTGCCCATATCATTGATATAGACAAGCAAGCAGAGCGGTCCAAGCACAGGTCCTTGAGGGACACCCGATTTCACTGGTGTTCTTGTACTAGATTCCCCATCCAGTACTACTTGTTGGGACCTTCCAACGAGCCAAGATCTGAGCCAGCTCAAGTTGTTTCAGCAAATTCCATAGTGATTAAGCTTTAGGAGCAGGTGCTCATATGCGACTGTATCAAACGCTCTCGAGAAGTCCAGTACTGTAAGTACTAATTTTAGAGAAGATCATTGGACATATGGTGAGATTGAGCTGTTAGAGAAGGGATTTGGATGTTTACGAAATGAGCCTGTATTTTTTTACATTTATACAGTGACTGGGGGGGGGGGGATTTAAAAATCTTCCTGGGCCTGTGATTTTATAGATCGCTCAAATCATTTCATTGAAACAAATGTACAAAATTCTCTCATTTACTCCAAATTCAGTGGACAAAATATAATGAAGTCTACACAACTCTACCTTTTGGGTTTCTTCCTTTGTAAGATCTCGATCTAAGCTTTCCAAATGGTCTATTTGTCTTAATTTCTTGCGTAATTTACGGATTTCTATAAATTTTTCCTTTTCGATGGGAGCAGACATCTTGCAATCGCCCGGATGTGAAAAAAGAAACCGAAATGTCCATTTATTGGAAATGAAGTGGAGTGGACGATTTGAATTGAATTTAGAGTGAGAATATCATATAGAAATGGAACCAAAACTATATTTTTGGGGTTATTTCATTAAATATCACGGGTATCAGCACTCAGAGTCAGCAGCATAAACAGAACAAGCTCACCGACACCGAACGAAAACGCAGCACTAGACGAAACGCGTCTAATGCACCCAGTATCGAAAGTTGTGGATTCTTTAGCCTATTCACGGGAAAATATGAAAAACACGTCATACAATAATATTTTAAATGAATTTTACCTCATGTATTCTTGATGCTTATTGGCTTATTCATGGTCACATGATATGAAATAGATGAACTTATTCCCTAGAAAGTCACCTAGTCAGCAGGGAACTAAAGATGAAATGTACCATGGGCTTTCAATTAGAAAGTTGAAAGCCCATGTACTAATCACCAGTTAGGTCATGTGACCAGTCATTAGTACGTTTTATCTCCCGCCGATAGCTGAGATTGTAGGAGTTGAAAGGCAAAATACCTTTAAATGCCAGTAAGAACCTGTAAGCATTTAATGTTCAAATGAAAGGACTTCTCATTTTGTTTTTGTTTACAGAGTACGCGGTATATAATAAAACAAATAGTGACTGCCACACCCGGGCTGCCACATTTTCGGGAAATAGCTTGTTGTACAATAAAAACTACATAGGACCTAATAAAGAAATTCAAAGTTAACAGTAACTCTTCTGGAAATACTAAAGCCAGAAAAGGCTATGGCGTTTCAAGAGGTGTGCGACTACAAAACTTCCATGCTGTGTCTCGGAATAGAGGCTACCAAACTAAGCTATATACCCTATATGTAAAAGGCGCTAACATCCTACACTCGGAATGATCGTTTTTCCATTAGTTATAACATTTTAACGAAGGCATTCCTAGATAGTCTAAATACCGATTAAAATATTTCTCACTTTAAACAGGTGGGCCTAGGCTACGCTTCCTTTATTTAAATTTCTAAAACAATAATATAAAATAACGTGTCAATGTGAGGGAGCATAAAATCATTTTGCTCCTTCACATTGACAAGATTATTATTTTCTAGAAAATTAAATCTACACGTTTCTCAAACCGGTCAAACCCTGGGGGTCAAACTACACGATTCTCTGGATTATCCGATTTAATTTCTCCACTTGTGCATTGTCTACTAGAAACGTCACTCGGCGACTAATTTAGTGTAGAATGGCTAGCACTAGTATTACTTAGGGACCCAGCCTGAATATTTTTGTTTTTGAATATTGGAGAGTATTACGCGAGATTTTTTCATTTTCTCGTTGGAAAATATATTTATTTTATGATGTGGGGTGATATCTAGAGTTTGAGGCTTGCGAAAATAAGATATCCTCATCTTTATACCCCCACCCTATACTTTCAGGGGGGTCAGAAGAAAATAAACTTTAATTCATAACTTTGGAAGTAAATGAGATACAAACTTAATTTTTTCACCATAATTTATAGAATAACATCAGTAATGCAGAAAAAATATATCAAACGAAAATAAGCTAATTTGCATAATTTAACCCTTAAACCGCCATAAAAACTATTAAATAACGGAATGATAATAAACAACTTTTACTGTAATTGCCTTCATATGAAGTTATAACTTATGAAATAATTCTTAAAAATGCATCTATATATGTATATTAGATGTGCAAAATATTAAAAGTGTATCTTACATAATGACTGTGAAAAATATTTCTCCCCTTACCCTAAAATTGAAGGGAGGGGGTCAAAATAAAATAAAATTTAATTCATAACTTTGGAAGTATATAAGATACAAACTTAATTTTTTCACCAAAATTTACAAAATAATATCAGTAATGGAGAAAAAAATATTTTGAACAAAAATAAGCTAATTTGCATAATTTAACCCTTAAACCGCCATAAAAACTATTAAATGACAAAATGATAATATACGACATTTACTGTAATTACCTTCATATGAAGTTATAACTGATGAAATAATTCCTAAAAATGCATCTATATATGTATAATAGATTGGAAAAATATTAAAAGTGCATCTTATATATAGATTGTGAAAAAATTTCTCCCCCTACCCAGATATTTCAGGGGGTCAACTGAAAATGGACTTAAATTTATAACTTTGGAAGTATATGAGGTATAAACCTATTTGTTCACCAACATTTATGTAATAACATCAGTAACTAAGAAAAACATTTTTGATATGCAAATAAGCTAATTTGCATAATTTAACCCTTATACAGTCATAAAAACCGTTAAATGACAAAACTATAAAATACGACATTTATTTTAATCGACCTCTCATGAAGTTATAACTTATAAAATAATTCATGTAGTTGCATTTATATATGTATAACAGATGTGCAAAATATTAAAAGTGTATCTTACATAACGACTGTGAAAAAAATTCTCCCCCTACCCAGATATTTGAGGGGGGGTCAAAATGAAAATGGACTTTAATTCATAACTTTGGAAGTATATGAGGTACAAACTTAATTTTTCACCAATATTTATGTTATATCATCAGTAATTCAGAAAAAATATTTTTTGATATGCAAATAAGCTAATTTGCATAATTTAACCCTTATAACGTAATAAAAACCATTAAATGACGAAGTGATAAAATATGGCATTTACTTTAATTGACTTCTTATGAAGTTATAACGTCGAGAAAAAATTTACAACAGATATGCATAATATAAAGAGGTTATTTTATATAATGAGTGTGAAAAGAATCTTACACCCTACCTTAATAATTTTGAGGGCTCGGGGGGGGGGTTAAAGAAAATAATAGACTTTAACTCATAACTCTGAAATAATTTAAGAAAGAGCTTACATTTCTTCGCTGAAAATTGAGAAATCATATCAATAATGAAACGAATATTACATGGGGGCAATACTATATTTCAACTAATTTGCATAATTTAAGCTTCAAACAGTCATGAGAATCATTATAAGGCAAAGTGGTTCTATACTGAAATTGACTTCACATGAAGTAAGGACTTTGACAATATATCCTTTCTTAATACTAGCATTTAAATGGAAAAATGATATCAACAATTATGAAGCTATTTTTCCCAACTATTTCAATGCCCATGGAGATTTTCATAGATATAATACTAGAGGCAAATCAAACTTCACCCTTCCTAAAGCAAAACTGAAAATTATGGCAAAAAACAATAGCCTTTAGTGGTTACTCCATATGGAACAATCTCCCAGAAGAAATAAAAAAGTCAAATTCCATTTCTTTTCTTAAATCAAAACTGAAGAAGCATATTCTCTTAGCTTATTAATCATTAGTTGACTATATCATTTCTTGTTTCTTCAGTAAGAAGGGTAGGCTCTCAAGGGAGGTACATGGGCCAACCTGGGGGCTGCTCCAAACTACTTAAGATCTAAAATAATAATTCTGACCATACCAACCTTGGGGAAGGCAAAATGGCCTAAAATAATAACTAATATTTTATAAGAATCAAACTTTTAACGATTATTTGCGTCAATGCGGTAGCCTGGTATCTTTAAATAATAATTAATGAAGCTACACATTCATAAAATTTCCCCATGGCATATGGCACCTTCTTGGCTTCAAATGAAACGAGCATCATGGATCCCCCATACCTTTATTTATTATAATCTAACTTTTGTGATTACATTCCGGTTTGATTCGTTGACAACATAATGATATACTTCATAATTTAACTACTATATGTACGGGTATTTAAGCATCACTTGTGGTGCCACCTATTATTAATAATATGTGTACACATAATGATTAAATGTATGAATAAATTGAGTTTAATTGAACTTGCAATGTTTCAGAATAACCCTTAAAAAGGTAACCATAACAATTCTAAAGTTTATTGAACCATATTCAGAGTCACTGTGGGGACTGGTGTCATATTCTAGGTTGTAGGTACCTGATGCAGTGAAAATGTCACCATATATGTTTGGGTTAATCCACTTATTCCCGTCCACACTCACTTTCCTTTGAGCCGCATGAACATGCAGCAAAACATTCTGTACCTGCAGTGGCACATGAGCAAGTGGTTTAACATATTGCTTTGTCCTTGTATCGTTTGCATGTGCAAAAGGACTTTGGGATTTTTGTTATATCAAGTTTCGGTTTTTGGTCATTTTAATGGTCTCAAGAGTAATATGAACCACTTGACATCCAAATCCATTCCCTGGCTCTGGAATCTCAAAAAGTGGTTTGTCAGCATTCATTGAAATGTATAATTGTTATAAACCAAAAATGCATCCATAGTTAGTGGTAATGCTCTAATATCATTTTGGATGCTGCAAACAAGTGTAATACATCCAATGATAGTTTGTTTTTATATTGAAATATAAACAAAAATAACGCAACTCCCCTAAACCAGAGATCGTGCCCATGTGGACAGTCAATGGAGACAGAAACTCACTTTAAAGTAGAATGTCATATGTTTGAAAATGAATGATTAAGTCTGTTTGCCTAAATGACTGATATCCATAGTGACTTTTACATGTTTACAAGTCTAGGAAAATATGGTATAATAATGAATGAAAAAAAACTGTTCAAAGGACACTTGGAAAATGTATGATAAATATGTTAGTCAAAAGGCGTGAAATAGTTACATGCGATGGTCTCTAATAGGTCGGCATCAACCAGGAATTGTTTTAATTCAAGTATGTATCTTAATGTAACATCTTTAGTGTGTTAGACTTTAATTAATAAATCAACTACTACTACTAGTATAATATTGTTTCCATGTAATATTCTTGATGTGATTTCTCAATATTCTGGCGAAGAAATACATGTATAAGCTCTTTCTTATACGATTTCAAAGTTATGAATCAAAGTTTATTATTTTCTTTTAACTTCCCCCAACCCTAAAATATTAGGGTAGGGTGTGAGATTTTTTCACACTCATTATATACAATACCCTTTTTATATTGTGCATACCCGTTGTAAATGAATTTCTAGGAATTATTTCACAAGTTATAACTTCATAGAAGTCAATTAAAGTAACATTCGTATTTCATCACTTTGTCATTTAACGTTTTTTATGACTGTATAAGGGTTAAATTATGCAAATTAGCTCATTTTCATATCAAGATATTTCTTCCGAATTACTGACGTTATAACATAAATTTTGGTG